ACCGGATTGGCCCCTATTTCCCTGGCTCTAAACTGCCACCCCCCCAGAACCCCAGACCAGCCTCCCCTTCCATGGAAGAAAGCAAGCAAGGAAGAGCACTCACTCCTCACCTCTCATGTCCGTTTCCCTCTCTCACACTTTCCTTCTTGCCTTAACTGGAGTTTTCCTTTGTTCTGCTTCCATTGGAAGCAGCCATTCACTAGGTGGATAGACTGGGGAGGGGGCTTCTACAGCTGTAACCAATCAAGTAGCCTTATCTCTGATCTCTGAAAGAAGGGAGGATTTACAAGTGCTGGAACCAAGGAAGGAGGGAGAGGTTCACTTTGAGGTTCGGCTGCAGGGGGGTGGAGGAGGGGATGTAAAAGCTGGACATTTAAAGTTTTTTAGCTTTGCCTGTTGGATGGAGGACATTATCCTGAAAAGGAGGACATGTCCTCCTTTTGCCGGACCTCTGGCAACCCTACTCCAAGGAGGCCAGAGGAAATAATCACCCATGTGTTTTCTAAGCTTTGATTATCCACACAACTACAAATCTAATGTTGCTGAACAAGCTGGTCATGGCAAAAGGATCAAAAGGCTCCAGGAGGCACTGTTGAGGCAAGTCAACCAGGAGAGCTTAAACCCTGGAGGTCTGTGCGTGGGAAAAGCCAGCAGTGCCATCCTGTTGGGGTCTACTCAGATGTGAGACCTTTCTAACTCCAGAGGGTTTACTCCCAGGTAAGTGCATCTAGGAAGGCAGCAGAAGCTGCCCCCTCTGCTTCGTACAAAATAAGTGTTGTGTAAGGGGAAAATAAAGTGTGTGTGTTTGTGTGGATAAAATAAAAAATAAAACTTTTTAAAATGTAAGCAGTCTCCTATTAAACAGTCTTTAAATGAATGATTAAGGTCTAAAAATTCAGAAAATGCGGAAAAGGTAGACTATCAGATTGTTACAGCCGGTCATTCAAGATGACAGTGAATGGAAAAGGCATGTAGGAGCATGTGGTGATGGCACCATGACCTGGTGGGTGGGCTGGAGGCAGACGAGAAGCCCGGGACTGGCATGCAGGGAAGTGCATCTAGGACGGCAGCAAAAGCTCTTATGAGAAATGGACAAGATCAGCGGCCCCTCTGCTTGGTACAAAAAAGTGTTGTATAAGGGGAAAATAATGTGTGTGTGTTTGTGTGGTTAAAATAAAAATAAAGCTTTTAAAAATTTAAACAGTGTCCTATTAAGCAGTCTTAAAATGAAGGAATAAGGTCCAAGAATTCAGAAAATATGGAAAAATTAGAAAATCAGATTGTTACAGCTGATCATTCAAGAGACAATGAGTAGAAAAATCATGTAGGAGTATGTGGTGACACCACCATGACCTGGTGGGTGGGCTGGAGGCAGAGGAGAAGCCTGGGACTGGCATGCAGACCCCGTGGGGCAGGATTTCTGGTTTTGAGCAGTGCCACGTCTGTGGCCAGCAGGGTGGCCAGTCATTTGTGCCCACCACCACTGACACAGGAGTAGCAGAAGGGAGGTGTGTAGGTTTGCAGAGTGTGGCCAGGGCTAAGCACAAATGCAATGAAACGGGCGGCAGCAGCCATATCCTCCCTTTGGATATCCACTATTCTGCAGGAACTAACAATCTAACCTCTCAAATGGCCACACCTCAGGATCAATATGGAAGAAACACTATGGCATAACTTGCTTAGTTTATGTTAGAACACGCTAAACTGAACCATTAAAAGTCCTTACCATTTTAAGTCCTTAAGGATTCCCAACTTCTTACTTCTTTTTTTCCCCCAATTTATTTTTTATCCCACCCGATGAGCCCCCCACTCTTTGAGAAATAACAACATCAAATTCACAGATGATGTCAAACTGCAAAGGATAGCAAAGCATGAAGAAGAGTGAACTTAGGATTTAAAACTGCCATAAAAGGTGCAATATTTGCAGGACAACATACAAAAAAGGTTTTAGCATAGGAAAATGCAGAGTTCAGCATTTAGGCAGAAAAAAAACAGATGTATAATTATAAGGTGGATGACAACTGGCTTCATAGCAATATGTGTGAAAAGGGTTGGCGAGAGGGGGGGCTTAGCAGTCCATATAAGATAAACAAGGAGTCAGTTATGGGATGGAACAGGAACTTCAATCGTAGCCTACATCCATAGAAGTATCATACAATTTCTGCTTCAGTCAGATACTGCCTGATGTCCAGTGTCCACTTTGGGATGTCAGAGATTTCAAAACAGATGGAGACATTTGGACATATCCCTAGGAGGGGAACCAGCATGATCAATGGTGTGGAAGCCAAACCCCAAGAGGAATATACGAGGTGGATCAGAATACCTCACCAGAGATGTTCAGACCGAAGCTGGAGGACCATCCATCAGCAGTGCTTTACTTCTGGATTCCAGACGTTGGCAGATGATTTGGACTCAATGACCCTCAGGGTCCCTTTCAACTCAACTATTCGACAACTGTAACTCCACACAATACAACGGACACTTACACATGCACACAAACAGGTAGCTTCAGATCAACACTGGGGAAGAGATGTAGGACCAACGGTCCCATTGCAACTGGTCTTTGGAAATGTGGCAACATGTATAAGCAACATATTTGGGATGGGGCTGTCTGTATGTTTGTGTATCACAAGGGAACCTCTCCCCCGGTCTTGAATAAATGAGTTTGACAGTGATAAGTGGGAGCAACTGGGAGAGCATAGCATTACTTCTAGAGTAGCTTAGTGTGCTCACAAATCTAACAACTTCTGAGCACACTAGGCCACAGCACCTCATCGTAGCTTACTGTGCTGCCCATTACTAGGTACATTCAATCGTTTTTCTCCTTGGATCCTTCTCTCTTTAACTCTTTCCAGAGTAGCTTAGAAGTGAAATTAGAGATTTTTTTAGGTGTGAAAGGAGCTGGGCTCAGTTCATTACAAGTAGTCCTGACATCTGGTGGCCAGCTTGGCCACTGGAGCAATCATCTAGGAAAGGAAATACTTCAAGTTTTGGGAAAGAGCAAAAGTGCCGGCAGTCTGTCAATTTTTAGAGTGCCTCCGTAAGCTCAGGTAAAGGAGGGAGAGTGGTTAGGGGTTGCCACAATGAAGATTATTATCCTTGATACACCACATCAGTCTTGGTTAATTCAAACTCCTTCCCAGCAATGTTCCTAAGCATCTAATCAGAAACAGAAAAATTCTGCCTTTAATAGAGGATATTGGGACATGTAATCAAAATAGCTGTATTTCCACACTTTAGACACTACAATAAACCTATTAGAGTTAAATAACTAGGATTAAAGCACTTGATGAAGATGGGTTGAACACAAAAGACTCACAGTAAATAGACTGAGCTACAGGTCACCCACCATCGGTCACTATTTTTGCTAATCTCCCAACAGTTCTACGCTTAAAACTCATTTTGTTTCTAACTACGTTGCCCTCATGCCGAAAGACTGAGGAAGAAATACATACACCGGCGTATTTTGAGGAGCAGATTCCTGACGATTCAGAAGAAGGTGGCAGAAGACTGATCCAGAATTGATCCTAGTGTACAGGATGCAGAGAAAGCCAAAATTAGGCAAAAGTCACTCCTGGTGGATATACAAGTAAAATTAATTTAAAAAGCAATAAATTTTGTGCACTGAAAGGGGATAACATCTTAAAAAGAAAGCAAAAGATGGAGAAAGCTGGACCATAACTAGCCATTTCCTGGTGTGGAAATAATACAGGAAATCCCACCTCTGGGGACACCCTGCCATCATCTCCCCTCACCTATAAGCAATGACTAGAGTCTCCTTCCTTCCATCACTCTAACCACTACACCACCCTGTGTAGCAGAATCGTACGAGAGGGAGGGGCAGAAAAGTGCAAATAAATCTCCAGAAAACTAAACAGAGGGAAAACTAACCCAGTGCCTCCCCTTTGGGAGGGGGGAAGCCAAATCTAAACGCGAAAAAGAAATTTCAAGGTCTGGAAATGGATTAGAAGGCGATGAGAAGCTGAGATCCCAGGACAAGAGGACGATCCACCCGACTTGCCTCCAGAACCGTTTGAAAGGAAGGGCGGAAGTCGGTACCAGCAAGTGGTACAGGAAGAAACAACACGTGACAGGCTGCATTGACCAACCAGAACAAGGACTGGGAGGACTAAGCCCGGATTGGCTCCTCTGCAGCCGGAAGGAAGAGGGAACAGAGAGGGAAAGAAGATTTCCGGTGAAAGATACCGCCTCTCCGTTTCCCTATTTCCTGCCCATCTAGGAATCTCGCTGTTGATCTCACTGGTGATTGTAACCCTTGCAGAGCCAAGCCCCTTCTTGTGCTTCCCTCCCAGGAGGCCAAAGGAAATAATCTCCTGTTTGTTTTCTAAGCTTGATTATCAACACAAAAAGGAAGCTTGATGTCCCTGAACAAGCTGGTCGTGACAGGAGGATCAAAACAAGCTTAAACCTTCGAAGTGTCTGGGAAAAGCCAGCAGTGCCATCCTATTGGGGTCTACTCAGATGTGAGACCCTTGGAACTCAATAGGGCTTACTCCCAGGTAAGTGCATCTAAGATGGCAGCAGAAGCTCTTACGAGAAATGGACAAGATCAGCTGCCCCTCTGCTTGGTAAGGGGAAAATAACGTGTATTTGTGTGCATAAAATAAAAATAAAGCTTTTAAAAATTTAAACAGTGTCCATTTAAGCAGCCCTAAAATGAAGGAATAAGGTCCAAGAATTCAGAAAATACGGAAAAGTTAGAAAATCAGATTGTTACAGCTGATCATTCAAGAGAGATTGAGTAGAAAAAGCAAGTAGGAGCATGTGGTGATAGCACCATGACCTGGTGGGTGGGCTGGAGGCAGAGGAGAAGCCTGGGACTGACATGCAGACCCCGTCGGACAGGACCTCTGGCTTTGAACAGTGCCACGCCAGTGCCCACCAGGGCGGCCAGTCATTTGTGCCCACCACCATCTACATAGGAGTAGCAAAAGGGAGGTGCTGAGGTTTGCAGAGTGTGGCCAGGGCTAAGCACAAATGCAATGAAATGGGTGGCAGCAGCCATATCCCCTTCGGTCCATTGAGCCCACCACAAGCTACCAGTTCTTGGAATCTGAGCTCATAGCTTTTCATTTCTCTCTCTCTCTTGTGTGTGTGTGTGTTTTTAAAAAAAGGCAATGCTGCACATCTAACTCATACCTAAAACACACACACTATTCACTTCCTAGGTCTCTCCACAAAGACAAGTGTTTAATTTGCCAACATCCTGAAATGGCTCTCTTCTCAAATCACTCCACCACTCTGTGAAATTGACAAGGAAAGGCTCACTTTTGGTTCATTTCCAGTAATTCCAAGTGCTGGAAAAGAACCAAAACAGAACCACCCTACCTGCAACACTATAAATAGATGGCCTTGCAAAAATGGGGTTCTCTATTCTTCTATACTTAGAAATGCCCTAAAGCTATTCACAGTGAAAAATTTAGTGGAGGAAAAAGAAAACATCTTTTTAATAATAAAAAGGTAAAAATCTTCTGCTGAGGTAGAAAACTTTTAAATGCTGTGTACTCTGAATTAATTATTTTATGCAATGTAAGACTTTGACTGACATTCAATGACTTCTTGTTCGTGTGGGTCCTCTGATAAGTACAAGGTTTGCATGCTGAGTGAAGTGTTTTCCACACTCCAGACATTTAAATAGCTTCTCCCCCCGAATGAAGTCTTTCGTGAATACATAGTAGGAACGTATCTCTGTCTCAAGCATTCAGATGCTTAGTCACCTGGGTGGATCCTGAGGTGTTTAGGAGGGTCTCCAGACACACTGAAATGCTCTGAAGGTACATAGGCGGTTTCTCCCCTTGGTCATCTTTTCCATGGCGGTCATCTGTTGATTTATGGGCAAAGGTTTTCCCAGATGGAAAAGCTCAGTATTTTAGCTCTGGAGAAGGTGGTCCCTCCACCCCAGTCCCATTTCCTGCCTTGGTATCTGCATGTCTGTTACCAGCATTTACAGTGGTGCCCCGCATAGCGATGATAATCCGTTCCGGATAAATCGTCGCTATCTGGAAATGTCGCTATCTGGGGCAAAAAAAAAACCCATAGGAACTCATTGAAAGCCCTTCAATGCATTCCTCTGGGGGATAAACTCACCACTAAGTGGAAATCCTCCATCCGGCCGCCATTTTCGCCGCCCCGGTAAGCAAGGAAACCACACAAAAACACTGCGGGTGGCCATTTTTTTCTTCTGGCGGCCATTTTGGAACTGCCAATCAGCTGTTTTAAAACATCGCAATCTGAAGATCGGTAAGCGAAACACTTACCAATCATCGCAATGTAATGTTTTCCCTATTTAAAACATCACAATGCGATCGCTTTTGTGATTGCAAAATCCGCATCGCTATGCAGATTCATCGTTAAATGGGGCGCTCGTTATGCGAGGCACCACTGTATTTCGTTTTGATTTTCTGTTTGGTGATGTATGCAGAAAACTCCTACAACATTCATTAACCATTCCGGTCCTAAGAACCTAGATATTTTCAGTAGTTTCCAAAAGCATAGCTTGGTTATTCCCTTGCAACACAGTCCAGTGGTGCCCACAAGCTTACGAAATGTCACCTTCATGTGTCATTCATCTGCCTCAACAAATGCACAGCACTGTCTCACGGAAAAATGAAGCCTTCATATTTTTGAACGTGTTAGTTCTCTCGCCTTAAGAAGATGCAACTGAGGAGCAGCTGCAAAGGCAGATCCTGAAACTTCATCCTAAAATTCAAGTTGTGAAACTTCCTGCCCGTAGTGTCGTCTTATGGCCGGGACGCTAAGCATCTCGTCTGAGAAAGGAGAGCCCAACTGGCCACCGGGATTACCGGGGAGCTGGTGGCAATGAAACGAGCAGGATGGAGACTAGAGCGACATGGTACGCCTGCTTCCACCTAGATCTACTCGGATCACCCGCACAAGCCAGGAGGTGAGGCTGAGGAGCCTAACGACGAGGGAGGCCCGGAAAGAAAGGACATGAAACCGGCCCTTCTTGGCGGTGGCTCCTCGCCTCTGGAACAATCTCCCTCCTGAGATCCATGTGGCCCCCACTTTGGACACTTTTAAAAGTCAATTAAAAACATGGCTATACATTCTGGCCTTCCCTCCAGTAAATATCTGACTTTTCTGTTTATTCTCTCCTTATGTATTTTCTATTCTATTGTTGTATTCTGTTTATTACAATATGATTTATGTAATTGTTTGTGGGTTTTTTGTATTATTTCACTGTTTTTACTATATTGGAAGCCGCCTAGAGTGGTCTTTTAGACCAGATGGGCAGGGTATAAACAAACAAACAAACAAACAAACAAATAAACAAACTCGGTGAATCCGACCAAACACCGGTCAGGGCCCATGGGAATGCTTATTCCATGACAAGGGTGGTGGACAAGAAGTCATTCTTCTTGGCCACCATTGCATCTCCATAGAGTTTATCCAGGAGATCTGTTTCGAGTGGTCAAAAGCCTATTACATCGTGGCCCAAAGGAAGACCACGCGGCCGCTCACGCTGAAGGACTTGCGCAATAGCATAGGCATCCTTCAGTCTCAAGAGACCATGGTAACATGCTCTGAATCGAGGAGTGTCCTCTCCAGAGCATGAAGCCTGGGTAAAGTAATATGGAGGATAGGCTATTACCCAAGCAGCAAATCCCCCTTCTCCATGTTGCTGAAAAGGTCCAATGGAAAGGCAAGAGCCAATACAACTGGTTCCAGCAATGTCGCAGGGGTTG